ACCTCGTTTTCCGTTGACGACGACGTACCTCCGGCGTCCCCCGCATCTCCGGCCTGCCATCCGGTCTCCCCCGACGAGCCAATACGGCTCCACATTTTTTACACCGAGATTATCTCAATTTTAGCAAAAGGGCATAATGGTCAAATCATAACATATTTGTGGGCTTTATGTGGTAATTTGTGGGCGATGTTTAGCGTTTCACTATTTTTAACATAGTTACCTTTATTAAAACTTGTATAACATTTAATATTATTGTGAACTTGAATACAACGTTATAACCCTAATTTTAACATGATGACCTTTATTTTTCATATTGAACAGTATATAAAATATTTCATTAAAAATTTAACCTCTTATAGCCTATATATTACCAAAATGACTTTTATTTCAACATAGTGACCTTATTTTTATTATAGTGACTTTTTTTTATTATTAATAGAACAATTATAATTTCTCTAATATTAGTGGTCCACAATAAATTAGTGTGAAGAAATAAAAATAATAATATCTTAATTTGTATGACAGAGATATGTTAGAAAACTCACACATCGACGATCGACCTTCTTTTGGTAAGTAAATGGAAAGACCTTATTGGATTGTATCTCGCACAAGTTAACGTGGTCCAGATTAGCAGGTTAGACTCATTAATAGAACCGGGGGGGGGGAATCCTCACTCTAAAGTGTCACGAGTGAAAAGGTTTGCATCTTACAAATAACAACTAGTTAGTAGCACAGACGTTGTCCCGGATTGCTACTTTTGTAATCGTGCAATTTGGGTATTTTTTTTTAAAAAAAAAAAGGATTTTGAAATATGAAATCGACATTGTTAAATGTGTTTTTTTTTTATATTATAATTAAATGATGTGGTTTACACTTATTTACATTTTTTTCCCCATATTTATTACACGCTTGATAATGGGCTAAGATGGTTAAATTGTGAACTTTTTTATTTGTGAAGTGACGTGGCGTAATTTAAAAAGATTTACATGTCACATAGACGTCTTTATAAACGTCATTTGGGGCCTGTTCACGTTTATTGAACTAAGCTGAATTGAACTGAGCTGAACTGAACTGAACTGATTGGAGCTGAAGTGAACTGAACTGAACTGAAATGAGCTGAAATGAATATTTTATGAGAGAAGGAAATTAAGAGCTGAACTGAACTGAACTGAAATTAAGTAAATGTAAACGGGCCTTTAATATACTAGTATAGATTATGGTATGAGGTTGTGGTATGCAAATATTTTTTCTAAACCAAGCGAGCCATGTTTGATACTCACACATAAGTCATTATTAAGATAGAAATGACGACAACTTTTATATATAAAAAAATGCTACTAAGCTAAATACTTTGCATCTAACTATATAAGTTGATGAACATTTTTTTTTCCTTGTTTCAACAAAGACAATATCAATATGCGAAGATGCAATATGACTAAGTAAAAGACAATCCACAATCTAAATGTTAATTTTATTTGAAAAAGATAGGTGGATTATTAAAAAAAATACTCTGTATAATTGAAAGTTGAGATTATTTTAGACGAAGGAGGTAAATTTTGAGTTATTGTGAGCAATTTTTCCTTTTATTAAATGAGTATCAGAATGCATTTGATAGAATCTAAAATAATTACTAACAAAAGCAATGTATGTAAAAAAGCTGATAGAGCATGTATGACAAGTCGTGGTTCCGCTAGTTCATTAGCAATCTAGTTCATTCATTAGCAATTTAGCAGTGAAAAATATTTTAAATTTCTATGAAATGAAAGTAACAATACTTCAATTTGTTTGATAGAGATATATATGTAAGAAAACTCACACATGGACTTTTTTTAGATAAGTAAGTGGAATAACCTTATCAAACCATTATCTCACACATGTTAATACGCTTTAGGTTAGCAGGCTAGACCTTTACAAGCAGGGGAGATGAGAGATTCTTACTCCAAAATGAAACTAGTGGAAAGGTGTCTATACCACAAGTTGTGGGATACAAACCTTTCCACTAAATCAAGGGCTTGTTCTCTTCAGCTAAATTTCAGTTCATTTTAGTTCAATTCCATTTTTAATTTCTTTCTCTTATAAAATATTTATTTCATTTCAGTTCAATTCAATTCAGTTCAATTTAGTTTAGTTCAGTTCAGTTATATTCAATTCCAATAAATTCAGTTCAGTTCAGCTCAATTTATTAAATCAGAATAGGCCTCAAATCATGTTTAATACTCACATATCAGTCATTATTAAAATAGAAATGACCATAACTAACTTTTCTAAAAACAATATACTACTAAGATAAATACTATACATCCAACTATTTAAGTTGTTCAAAGAATTTAGTTTTTCAACGAAGATAAAATCAATATGCGATATGACTATGACTACGTGAAAGGTAGTCCACAATCTAGATGATAGTCTTATTTGAAATTCGTTTGTTTGTACTACCCGTACCTTCAAATCTTCAATTAGGCAACAACAATGTCACAAACAATGCGTTGATTGTTCCTACGGAGTTTGAAGAGTCAAAGGTTCAACAACAATGAGTTTGAATGTTTTTCACATCTTGACTTATAATAACTAGAAAGGCCAATTAATTTAAGCCATTAGTGTAAATTTGGACTGACCATTGAAATATTTTGGTAATTTGGAAGCATATACCATCGTAGCTTCCTTACCACCGGAAGTATCGCATTCTGTCTTTAACCCACAAAACGCACTACTAGACCCACCAATTGACCCCACTTAACTTTTAGGTTCTGCACATATAAACCGTTCACACCTACCTTTTTGTCCTTTCATTTATTTTATTTGATTTAGTGTATATTCTATTTATTGAGGCGAACTGAATTGAACTGATTAGAGATGAATTGAGTTGAACTAAACTTAACTGAATAGAGCTGAAATGAGTATTTTATAAGAGAAGAAAATTACAAACTGAACTGAACTAATTGAAGCTTAAATGAAATGAAATTAAGCTGAAAAGAACAGACCCTACGTATATATGATTTTAATAGCTGCAACACTTTGTTTGTAATGATGTGTTCATTTCTCATGTTGCAAAAAAATTATAGAAAATGAGATATTTTTTTGTTTATATCAATCACAATTACATGTGGCACTCCCTCTGTAATTGAAAAAGCTCATATCGTGTTTATTACATGATTAATAAAGAAGATAAAATGGTGGAAATTAAAAACAATAATCACATGTTACATATGTATCAAGTATTACATCATTAAATTCACTTAAAAAATAAGACTGTTTGCATTGGGAATTGGTAAATAATTTTGTGAATAGGAATAATTACGTTAGAAGTATGCAAATATTTTGTTAAACGGGGATAATTGAATGGAAGTATTTATGAAATGTGTGTAAAAAAAAGTAACTAGCTAACTATTATGATCTAGGAAAGAATTAAGACGTAACCATTAAAGAGAATAGCCTAAAATGGAAAACTTAACCCTCTTTAGAAATGTATGGAGTAAATTAATACTTCTGTATTTATTTAAGGAAAAATACACTTTAATAATTCCGATCCAACTATGTGCGATTTACTTTTAATAATCCCAACTAAGGTTTATTTTTCAATAACCCTAACTACGCTATGTGTTTGCCTCCAATAGTCCTAACCAGTCAACACCAAGTCAATGAAATGTTATAACATGTAACCATGACACGTGTCAACACATGATAGGTCCAAAATAAAATAAAAAAACCAAAAAATTCCCAGCCACCTTCTCCCACTGTGAAACCCTAATCATTCCCCTAACCTCGCTGGTAACCAGCCGACCACCCCCCAACCACCAAAACCGATTGTCTGACCTTCTACGAACCAAATTGACTTAGCCCTGACCCCTAACACCATCTACCCTGCCACCCCGTTCCCAAATACCTAACCTTATTTCGTTGGACTTCTGGGTGGTTTTGGGATCGGGGTGGCTGTGTAGGTGGTTTCAAAGATCGGGGCTAGGTTAGTTGGGGTTGTAGAGGGCGGGCTGGCCAGTTTCGGTAGGTAAGGGGTGCGACCGGCTAGTTTTCGTTGAGTTTAATGTTTTGCGGTGAGGGTGGTTTTGTTGGAATTGTTGGTGGTTTGGGGATCGGGGTGGCTTATTATGTGGTTTTGGGAGTCAATCCTAGGTCACGTAGGGATGTAGAGGGTCGGCCGGCTAGTTTTGGTGATTAATGGGGGCGGCCGACCAGTTTCGGTGATTAGTAGGGGCGATCGGCTGATTCCCGACGAGTTTAGGTGTGGGGTTAGGGTTTCGCGGTGGGGAAAGGTGGCTAAGAATTTTTGGGGTTTTTTGTAATGTTTTTTGAATTTCTTTTTATTTTGGACCAATCACGTGTTGACACGTGGTTATAAAAAAAAATTCTTTCAGCGGGTTGCCGGTCATTGGAAGTATTGAAGGCAAACACTAGCATAGTTGGGATTATTAAAAAATAAACCTTAGTTGAGATTATTAGAAGTAAATCATCCATATTTAAGATTATTAACGTGTATTTTTTCTTTATTTAATGCAAAAAAAAAAACCATGATTTGAATGAGTGGAAATATAGGAAACATGAAAACATCCTTTTTATTGTACATCTTTTAGTACAAGAAAAAAAAATGTAGGACAAGGTTGATATCAACATATGTTAATGGTATATTTGTCCTAAATCACACCCTAAAAATGAAATGATTCACAAGTCAACACAACTTTTTGGACACTCGAAAAAAAGTACAAGCATATCTTTATGGGATTGAGGGAGTATAATTTACATTCTAAATTATTATCGCATATTGTTATTAATATAAAAATGTAATTTTTATCTTGAAATATATTAGATTAATCACAATTTTTTTTTAATATCAACGTTTTTATGTTATGATATGATCAAAATTGTCAAAATTGATAAAATGTACTATAAAAGAAGAAAATAGTTAATATAGTGCATTGACATATATACATCAAAATTATGTTTTACTAAAAAAAGAGAGCGTAAAACAATTGTAGTTAAACAAAGCATCTAGATGTTCCATGATCGTGCACCTAAATTAAAATGACAACCTAAAAAGCCCCAAGTTCATTTAGTGTTGTTCATTTACTGTTCCTAATGAACAGCGAAATGACACCCTTGCCCTTAGCCCCTTGTCTTGATTGACCAAATTTCCAAGGTTATTTTGGTCTTTTCGGGTTTTCCTATTTCTCTCTCCTGCTTTTGCTCCTCTCATTCTCACTCTCTCTAAGTCCTAAGCATCCTCACATCATCTCCAACAGCTACACAACCCAGTTGATATTCAATTGCCAAATCCTTTTCCTAATCCCAACGCCGACCACCCACCCATGCATATCCTAGCATTTTCCCCAATTTTCCCTTCTTCGATCAACATTAATTTAAACCCTAATTTTTAAAACAATGCGACACCCACAAATTTCTCTCTCAATACCACCTCCAGATTTTGAGGACTTTCCGCCTTTCCTCCATTGAAGCTTACTCCGAGTTTCTAATGAAGGCTTAAAGGTACTCTGTGTTTTATCTCTTCTCCATTAAAGCAGCTCCTAGAGGTAAGATCGTTTATCATTTTTAATAATCATCTAATATCAATTCGAAAATCTAGGGTACATCTTTAATTTGTTTTGGTTGATCTTATGGAGTAATTTCTCAAATTCAATTACTGAGGTAATTTCATATTCTTTTTTGGGTTTTAAGTTCTGTTTTTTTTTATGGGTTTTATTCATAATCAGGGATTGTGATGGGTTTTGTGTTGATAAAATTGGGATTTTGAGGGGCCGAATGGTGGTTGCTTGATGTCGCTGTTGCTTGGCGTTAGATTGTGCTGGTTGCGGTTAGAATGTGACCATGAAGTGGCGAGGAGTAGCGGCAAGTGGTGTTTGTGGTTGTGTATAGCAGGGGAGATGCGAGGGTGTGCGATTGTGTAGTAGGGGAGATGCGCAGTGGCTGTTGTAGTGTCGGTGATGGTGGTTAATGGGCTGCTTAAGGTTGTTGTTGGGCGGAGGTGGAGAATTAATGGTGGTGCGCGATCGGTGAGGTTTGTGGGCTGATGTTGTTGCGGGGGAGATGTTGTGAGAGGGCTGTTGGGATTTTTGTGAAAGTTTTTGGGGTCTAAAGTTTGTTAATTGTGATGTGTTTTTATTTTTTTATTTTGGTATTATTTGTTTGAAAATGCGTTTTGATAATTGATCGTGCTTTTCCTCAAATCGACATTGTATTGTTAATAATCTAAAGTTTTAATCTTTAATATTGCAGATAAATTGGGGTGTGTAGGGAATATTTCAAGCGTTATCCCTAGCTTCAACCCCATTGTAATCATACACTAAAATACGGTGACATTTAAAAGGAAAGAAGATAGAGCAAAAGAGTTGCCAACAAGTTTTTTAAGGAACTAGTAAACCGTTTACGAGGTGAAGGTTACACCCCTCAACGATCCAAGACATCATCAAATCCAATAGATCTTGAACCATGACTGGTAGTTCAGGGATAAAGGTACAAATCCAACCTAAAAGAGATTGAACCTGCCCCAATAATAGGCCTCTACTTTATTCTGATCGTATTCATGTTCGATTTGTAACTAACATGCAATCAATAGGTTTATCCTAACCTGTTTATCTATGTTGGTTGAATATTAATACACAAATAAATCTATTATTGGTGATCACTTGAATTATAATCAAATTAATCCTAAATAAAATTATTAATAGTCTTATTAAGCGTGATTACAAGTACCAATTCCTTTTAAACATGCATAAAAGGTGTGATTAAGCAATAACAATAAATAATCAAGCAACATAATAACAATCAAAAACTACAATAATAATTACAACAATCATCATAAACATGTTAAAGCATAATAATAATAGCAAGATCCTAGGCATGATACTAACAAGATTAATAACAAACCCTAGCATGTCACTAAACATAAAAATCAAAGCTTTAACCCTAACATGATACCAATATGAATATTAGGAAGAGTAGGAAACATCGCAGGAATCATAATAAGCATATTTGATTTTATAACCTTTTCCTTAAACATGATATAAGAAATCATTGTTGTCATTAAAAAACATCAAGCTTCCTAACATGATACTAGGAATCATAATAACAATCTAAGCATGATTTTTACATCATAATATCAATTAAACCATTAGAGTACTTAATTGGATGCCTCGTATCTCTTTCTAATAACAAAATACACACGTTAGTAACTTCAAGGAAAATAATAAAACAACAATTAAATTAAATAATTGAAATAGAGATTTAGGACCAAACCCTAAGAAATTAAAACCTTTCACGTTTAGGGCGAAGACAACTTCAAATATGGCTAGGTATATCTAAGTCTTGCGAATGCGAAATTTTGTATTTTGAGAAAAAAACTAGTTTAGAAAAGAGAGAGAGAGTAATAAAGAAAATCTTGATGAGAGTTCGTGAGAATTGGTGAATGAAAACGGAGTTTTTAGGAAACTATTTATAGAGAAAATAAGCAAAAAAGATAAAAAATCAAAACAGAGTTCTGACGCGTAAAACGAAGGTTAGCGCCAGACGCTGCCAGGCGCCAAGGTTAGCGTCAGGCGCTGACTAAGTTATTGACGCGTTTTCTAAAATCAGGTAGAAATTGCCGTACAGGAGGATAAAATCGTATTTTCCTAAAAAATTCTTTTATTTTGATTCAAACTCTAAAAAGTCAACAAAAGTCAATTTATCAATGCTAATTAAATTAGGAATGAAAAGAACCTTCTAGAAGAATCTAAAAGACTAAAACCATTCCTAATTGCATTAGGAATGATAAATCCATATTAAGCCCTCCTCTAGATCATTGGGCCGCATATAAGGCTCAAATCGGGCCCAGTTTAGTAATTTGGCCATAACTTCCTCAATATTCACTGGAATTGGGCTTATAATATATCGTTGGAAAACTCTTTTCAAGCCCTATCCAACTACACTACTATTGGACCCATATCATGGACCAACCAAACTGGATTGACTGTTTTCTTAAAATAGGTTTTCAAAAACAGAGAGAAGAGAAAAGAAATTAAAACTATTCGCAATACTAAACTTTACACACTTTCACTTTATTCGATTATAATTCGACGTGAAAAGTACTCATCACTGGGTTTGGTTTTGGGGAGACACAAATGGGTGTCTGCAGAAGTCCCCAATTTGACTGAGTTTGGAGAAATGCAAGTTTCAAAAACAAAATTCAAAGTATCGATAGGGACGGAGAATGATTCAGAACGTTCTGCGATCCTAAATCATTCTTGTAACGCGATAACTGCAAACTAGCGTTAGTTAAAACAGATAAGAGTTAAGAAACGCGTATCTAGCACCGTCGAGCACACGTCTCCGAAGGTAACCGATTTGTTGATGTTGCATTGATGTTGTTGTGACAACCTTCCACAATCTATGGAACGCCATCTTGTTGTTTTAATGTCTACTCGTCTCTGAACAATGGAGCTTTTTTTATATGTTCACGCGTCTCTAAACAAAGAGCTTTTGAACAATATGTCCACGCGTCTCTGAACAAAGAGCTTTAATGATATGTCCACATGTCTCTGAAGAATAAAGTTTGAAAGAAATGTCCACGTGTCTCTGAACAAAAGAGCTTGAATGAAATGTCCACGCGTCTCTGAACAAAAGAGCTTGAATAAAATGTCCACGCGTCTCTGAACAAAAGAGCTTGAATGTTTATTGCGATAATATTCCGAAGAAAAATTTTCGAAGACCAACGCTTGTCGATCTCTAAATCTCGCTTGAACTTTGCTTCTGCTACGGCAATACGTCGGCGGTTTGCTGCTTGTGAACCATTATGTCGGTTCCTCTGCTGTTTATGAACCAGTATGTTGGTGTCTCTGTTATTTATGAACCAGTATGTCGGTGTCTTGCGATGAGCCAATGCTTAGGCGCTTTAAGCTAAGTGAGACGATCTTTCGTGAGGTCGATCTTTTATTGTGATTGTAATCAAGCCGACTACTTAATCATGCCAAATTGCTTATAGGGGCTAAATGGCGTACCAAGGAACCCGAAATTGCTGTTTGAGGTCGAAATCACCTTTCTGAGAGGCTTCGAGCTCTGTTGCTGCTGAATTATCTCTGGCGTCAAGAATGGGCTCTGTCGCCAGACAATCTAGAGTCAGGCGTTGAACTCTGTTTCCAGACGCCAGATGTTGTTGCCAGACGGCAACATTGTCGTCTGGTGCTGGAGTCGGGTCTCCCCTATTCTGCTCTTGCTGCCACTGTTGCTTGGTTTTGCTCCGAACTTTGAGCTTGGTCGTTTCCTTTCAACCAAATCCGCTCAAATCTTTAGTAAATTAAAGTTCTTCATCTCTAATTTACTGATCCATGAAACTCCTCTTATCTTGGAGGAATCTCCTGTATCATATTCACGGTTTTTTTCGAAAAAAAATCCTGGAATGTCCTCGCTTGCTGGGATGCACCTGCATTTTTATCTTTGACTATAGGACTTTGCTTATATTTCTTTAGGGTTGACCTAAGACTTAGTGTTGACTCAATGACTTGACATGATTCAAGGTATAAACTTGACTTACTGTGATTGACTGGCTCGAGGTTGACTCGACTCAAAGTGTTTGACACATGTGTTAGACTCAAATCAAGGTGATATGAAACGACATGACTCAACGTGTACATGACTCGTGTGTTCATCGTAATGTGATCGTGCGACTCGAAAATGCCAAAAAAGCAAAATTTTTCCGTCATTTTTGTGGGGGTACTGACTTTCTCCCGAAAAAGAAAGACGCAAAAAAGAAAGAAGCGAAATTTTTGAAGGTGCATGTTGAATGAGCTTAGTCAAATGTCATTTGATTATATTTCTCAAGGTGCAAGGATTAACCCATCCTATGCTATCTCAATTGTTGACTCAATGATTAAAGCATTTGGGTAACTTAGGCACGGAGGCTAAGCACTTCATAATTCGTGATGCAATGACAATTATGATTGATGAGTGATTTTTATATAACAAGACATGCTTTAGCGTTGTGTTAATATTCCATGACAAAGGATTCCTAAGGGAAGTATATTTGGTCATGTATGTGTGATGTGTGTGATAGTGAAACTAAAGTTAGGCCGCAAGGGCTAAGTGTGTGGGAAAAAATATATTGAAAAGATTCAAATGGTGGTGACTCTTAGGCTAGGTAAGCTAATGATGTAGGGATCAAGCCCCCAAGTCTAGTTCTAAGTAAATAGGGATGAGCATAGGATATCCCTTGATATGATCATGGTGTGTGAATGTGAATACAAATGCATGTCTATTACGGCCGCACCTCGATGTAAGGTTGCCTACGTATCCGTTAGGAATCAGGCCGAACGTAGTTCTAGCCGAACCTCACACAAGTGTGTGTATACCTCAAAAAGGCCTTTTTAAGAGATGTAACGTGGTTAGGCTAAAGGTTATAGAAGAAGGGGATAAAGGGTCAAGACCCTCGATAAGCTCCCAAGGTGTGCAACCTTGCTTTTGAATCTTTATATTTTTATGCTTGAGGCTTGCTTCTCTTTTTTAGCTCTCTTTTCTCCTTTTTTTTTCTTTTTGCTTTAGCATTTATTTTATTTTTATAAGTGTGGGCAATCCCGATCATGCGGTCTATCACACACTAGGCATTCATGTTTCTCAGGCACGATACCGAGCACTCGATAAGAGATGCAATTTGAGACGTGTTCATATCAAAGACATGTTCATGTCAAAGACATTGGAACATTTGCCCTTTTGTACACTTCTTTTTTTTTTAATTTTTTTTTTGCTACTTTATCTTTTGAAGTCACTCAAGTTATTTTTTTTATTTTTTTTTAAATGCATAAGTTACACACCATCCCATCCCAAAGTTAGGTAGATATGGGTTGAAAAATGAAGGGTCTATCGTTAGACGAGACTCAAAGTGGTTTACCAAAAAAAAATTGCATATTTGAAGGGTGAAAGGTAATATGATGTGTGTAGGGAATAATTTCAAGCGTTAACCCCTAGCTTGAACCCCACTGTGATCATACACTAAAGTATGGTGGCGTCCAAAAGGAAAGAAGATAGACCAAAAGAGTCGCCAACAAGTTTTAGGAACTTGTAAACCGTTCACAGGGTGAAGGTTACACCCCTTAACGATCCAAGAGATCGTCAACTCTATAAGGTCTTGAACCAAATAGGGTTCGGGGATGAAAGTACAAATCCAACCTAAAAGAGATTGAACCTGCCCTAATAATAGGCCTCTACTTTATTCTAATCGTATTCATGTGCGTTTTCTGACTAACATGCAATC